GGGGGGTAATAGGACCTTAGTAAAGGTTAGGTGTGTCTCAGGGATTTTGGGCATAGGCTGGGGGGGCGGGGTACTTATGCATTTTCCCTAGAGTTTCCAATCAAACACAAAATTAAGTGGGAAGTAATGAATCAAAGTATCAAACACTTGATTAAAAATAGTATCTACGTTCATGGCCAAATTTATGTATAAATTTTAGGTCACTAGAACTCGTGGTCATCCGACTAAACTCGATATATTACTTCTATAATTATTAAAGAATATATTGAATTAAAACTTGTGAAACCCGTTTTCAAGATGACTGGATGATTCACTGGTACGATTGCAAGATTTCAACACGAAGGTCGTAGGTTTGATCCCAGGCAGCCCCAATTCGCTTCAATTTATTTTTATTAACTAAAAACACGTTTTTCATTTTAAAAAAAGAAGCTAAATTCTGAAAGTTCTAAAAGTCAAAGACTTCAAAAGTTTCCCTCCCACCCACTTTCCAAGTTCCAAGTTCATTCCAACAATATCTTTCTTCTCTCTTTAAATTTGTTTTTTATTTTCCACACAAAGAAGAAGTTTCAATTCTCCAACTTCAAGTTAAGAATCTAGAGAAATCATCATTGTCAAAGTTTAAGGTATACAAAAAAATCTTGTCATTACTTATAATAGGAAATCATAAATAGTTAAAGAATTGATTATCTCAAATTTACATATTTTGCGGATGAAACTTGTAAGGAATGTGTTTTATATTATATTATCAATTTTGAAGGGTATGATTTCCTTTTTTTTTTAATGTGAAAGGGATGTGATTCCCTTTTTTTTTTAATGTGAAAGGGGTGTGATTCCCTTATTTTTTAAATGTGAAAGGGATGTGATTCCATTATTTTTTAAATGTGAAAGGGGTGTGATTCCCTTATTTTTTTTAATGTGAAAGGGGGGTGATTCCCTTATTTTTTAAATGTGAAAGGGGTGTGATTCATTTTCTTTCTATGAATATGTGATTTCAAATGTAAAAGAGGCATAAGTCCTCTTTTTATTATGAATGTGTGATTTTCTTATTGTTAAATGTGAAATGGGTGTGGTTCCTCTATTTTAGTTAGATTTGCAAGGATGGTGATTCCTCTATTTTATTTGTAACTTGCAAGGGTGTGATTCCCTTATTTTTTATTGTGAAAGATATGTGATTCTCTTATTGTATTTTAAATTTGCTAGTTAAATTTGTGATTAAGTTGAATAGTTATTTGAATTTGTAGGGACATTTATCCTTGAATATCTAAATGGATAAATTTTTAATTAAGCAATCACATTCTAGTAGCAGGCCATCTGTTAGTTCACATGTAGCTCCAGAAGCTCAAAGAGAGACAATTACACATTCTTCTTCAAATGTTGATTGTATTCTTGGGGTTGGATCTCTCAAACGGGATCCCGGAGAAAGAAAATCCATCTTTGAATATGATTTTAATATTCGAGATGTTGTGAGGAGACATTACATTTTGATGGGGCCTTATCAACCAAAACTTCGTGTATATCCTAAAACAACATTTGGGACTAGGAATCTGCAATTTAATCCTGTGTGGTTTAATGCTCCAAATTCTGCTTGGTTGGAATATAGCATAGATGATGATGCTATATTTTGTTTGTGTTGTTATCTCTTCAAGAATGAATTTGAAAGTCGTGGCAATGCGGAAAAATCATTTACACAAGATGGATTTAAGAATCGGAACCATGGTCTGGAAAGAATTCAATTGCATGTTGGTGAGGTGAATAGTATTCATAACAAATGTTTGAATAGGATGCTTGATTTGCGAATCAACGTCAATCAATTCAATCTTTTCTTTACAAGCAAAGTGAAAAACAAAAAGTGATTATCGAATTCGTTTAAATGCCTCAATCGATGTGGTAAGGTTTCTCCTAAGAAATGGATTGCCATTTCGTGGTCATGATGAGAGTGAAGATTCCTATTACAAAGGTCTTTTTCTTGAACTTGTGAAATTTCATGGGGTTAATCGTCCGGATGTGGAAAAGGTGATATTACAACATGCTCCAAAAAATGATATGATGATTTGTTCAACAATTGAAAAAGAGATTGTGGATGCTTGTACTAAAGAAACAATTAAAGCTATCATCAAAGACTTGGATGGTGATTATTTTGGAATACTAGTTGATGAGTCAAAGGGCATTTCACAGAAAGAGCAAATGGCACTAGTTTTACGATATGTTAACAAAAACGGAGAGTTGATAGAAAGCATTTTGGATATTGTTCATGTGGGTGATACATCCGCAAGATAATTGCAAAAAGTAATTTACTCTTTACTTTTGGATCACTCGTTATACCTATCAAGACTCCGTGGACAAGGTTATGATGGAGCTAGTAATATGCAAGGAGGAAAAAATGGCATAAAGTCTTTGATTTTGCAAGATGCTCCGTCTGCATATTATATTCATTGTTTTGCTCACCAATTGCAATTGACACTTATGGCTCTTTCTAAAAAACATCCGGATGTGAAAAATTTCTTTTATGTTGTCACTAATGTTTTGAATACTATTGGGACATATTTTTAAACGCAGGGACTTACTTCAACAACACCAAGTTGAGAAGTTGGAAGAATTGCTTAAATTTGGAGAAATTCTTACCGGACAAGGATTAAATCAAGAACGTGGCCTCCAACGATCGGGTGATACTCATTGGGGATCCCATTTCAAGACCTTGGAAAATTTCATGATTATATTTTCTTCAATTGCTAATGTGCTTAAAGATATGAAAGAAGATTCTCCACATGATCTTGACAAACTTGTAGCAGGTAACCTTTTAGATAAAATTCAAGAATATGAATTTATCTTTGTGTTGCATTTGATGTTCAAGATGTTGCTTTTTACAAATGAATTGAACAAAGCTTTACAAAAGAAAGATCAAGATATTGTCAATGCTATGGGATTGCTTAATCTTTCAAACAGAAGATTGCAAACAATGAGAGAGAGTGGTTTGGAGTCTTTGATGGATGAGGTTTCTTCATTTTGAGGTAAACATGATAATTTGGTTCTCGAAATAACTGAAGACTATCCAAGATCGAAGCATAAGAAGTCCGAAATTTCATATTCACATCACTTTCGTGTGGAAGTGTTTTATGCAGTTATTGATTTGCAACTTCACGAGCTCAATAATTGTTTTGATGTTGTGACTAGTGACTTACTCCTTGGTATGGCTAGTTTGAATCCGGTTGATTCATTTGCTAATTTTAGTAAGAGCAGAATAATGAAGTTGGCTGAATATTATAAAAGTGAGTTTGGTGATAATGAACTTCGAGATCTCAGTTATCAGCTTGATAGTTTCATTGTCTATGCTCTAGAGTGTGATAGCAAGTTTCTCAACTTGAAGGGGATTAAAGATCTTGCTACGATGATGACACAAACAAAATTGGATCAAACTTAGTCTCTTGTTTATTTTCTTGTAAAGTTGGCTTTGATTTTGCATGTTGCTAGGACAAGTGTGGAAAGCGCATTCTCCTCAATGAAGCTCATCAAAACTGGTCTTCGTAATAGCATTGGTGAAGAATTTTTGAATGGTTGTTTAGTTTGTAAGATAGAGCGGAAGATATTTGAAAATATAAGTAATGATGCTATTATAGATCGTTTTCAAAATATGAAGTCTCGTCGAGTACAATTGTAAACTGATGATATTTTTTGTGGTAATGTAATTTTTATGTATTGCTCGCTTAGTTATTGTTGTTATAAATATTTTGGTCTTATCTTTAAAGCAATGGTGCACCCGTTTTCTTGAAATCCTGGATTCGCCTGTCTACATTACTAATCCATGATTACTAATTCATACGTTACTAATCTATGCATTATCAATATTTGTACCAAACAACCCCTAAGAACTATTTCAAAGATGTGAAATGTTTTCCCAAAATTAAATAAGCTTTCTCTAATTAATTAAAAAAATATAGGAATCAACGGAATTAATTAACATCAGCTAGTTATTAATGGAGAAAAAGATAACAAAACCAAAATAATTAATTAACTTAAAAGGAAAAAGTAAAGGAGAGGGGCAGCAGAACAGTGAGGGAGGAGATAGAGAAAGCAAGAAAGAAAACTGCAATGAAGACCTTCATGTGTCACCTTGTGGGGTAACCACTAATCTCATTGTATTCCTTCCCAACAATCTAAGTGAATTCATCCCATCCCTCAAATCTGAATCAGTAGTTATCAAAATCCAATCGTCATCTTCATCTTCATACTTTATTGAAAACCTTTCAAGTGATATCTTAAGCCTCTTTTCCACTTCCCCCTCCAATTCTACTCTCGTTGATGAAAGGGAGAGTTGAAACATTATAATATCACCTCTATATGTAACCTTTAAAATCATCACACTATCACAATGTTTTCCTGACTACTGCAATAAATGAAGTCCACAAAAAGGATTTCAGTGAATCTATGCACAAATCATTTCAATTAAAAGGCATATGAGCGTACATATATATAATAACACAAAAAGAATTACGAATCACAAATGCGCTAAAGTTAGTGAATTTACCACTTAGATTTTTGGCAGCATCTTTAAGAGTCATGCCAAAATGCTGCTCCAGAATCTTGCGAGTAATCCCATGATCTTTTTCTATCCTTCATGTCTCAGCTTTTGGGATAACCAGGAATCTCATACTAGTCCTTCCCAACAACCTTAGCGAATGCATACCAACCCTCAAATCTGAATCAGTAGTTATCAAAATCCAATCGTCATCTTCATCTTCATACTTTATTGAAAACCCTTCAAGTGATATCTTAAGCCTCTTTTCCACTTCCCCCTCCAATTCTACCCTCGTTGATGAAAAGGGGAGTTGGAACTTTATGATATCACCTCTATATGAAACCTTTAAAGTTATCACACTATCACAAGGTTTTCCTATTGCAGGAGATCTTTTGTGACCCAAATAATCTGTGCCTTTTTCTTGGGAAAGAACAGGACATTGTTGATCACTCACATATGGTTCAGCACCTTGAAAAGATATGCCTTGGCTAACATGGACATTAACATTTCTAGTCTTGTGATGTGGCCATCTAGAGATATTATATATTCTACAAATTCGTTTCAATGTTGCTCGACTAACTGCAATAAAAGAAGTCCACAAAAGGGATTTCAGTGAACTATCCATAAATCATTTCAGCTAAAGGCATAGGAGCGTACATATATATAATAACACAAAAAGAATTATGAACCTCAAATTCGCTAAAGTTAGTGAACTTACCATGTAGACTTTTGGCAGCATCTTCAAGAGTCATGCCAAAATGCTGCTCCAGAATCTTGCGGGTAATCCCATGATCTTTTTCTATCCTTTGCATTATGATGCTCTTCTGTGAATGGATTTTCTCGCTGTTAGTCGTTGCTCCACTGGCAAAGTTACTTTCTCTGTTTATAGCTTCAGCTTGAAACGATTGTCTGACATATCTAAAATCATTATGCTCCACTTTGTCATTATTCCTTGCATTGCCCGCATAATTAATTTTTAAATTTGGTTGCTCAAAGTGTGAACCAAGTTGCATCATTTCACATGTATTCTCAATGTGGTCATCATGTGCTACATCCACATTAACCGTTCCTTTGTTTGTCACAGCTTCCTCTATTGGATGAGGAAGTAACGGATAAACCTCCACTGTCCGCTCACAGTTGAGTGAGTCGCGCTTGAGTGATGAACAAGAAGGAACCAGTAGTGCAGCAGCAACATTATTCTCCATGTTCTGTAAATTTGACTGTTCACAAAAATAATCAATTTCTGTTGTTTCTCCTCCATCCTGATGTGATTGAACACTCGCCAGAGGTTGGCCGATTTCTGTTGTTTCCCCTCCATCCTGATGTAATTGAACACTCGGCAGAGGTTGGCCAATTTCAAAGGAGTCAAGTTCATCACTCAGGGAAACTTTAACAACTTCAACGAGCATCCTCTGCCCTAGTTCTTTTCCAGAAGCAACTATGAAACCTGGAAGTTGTTCGTTCATTGTGGATAAAAGCACATTAAAGAAAGTCTTTGTATCTCCAACAACCATTTCATTGGGTGGCAGGAAGTACTCAACTACACAAACAATATTGTTGGCACATTTGCTTTGCAAACAAATTGCAAAACTCTGGGTCAATCTAGCTTTTCGTGCACTAGGCACCAAAGGGTACTCGTTGAAGCTTAATAGAGTAACATCTTGGCAAAAGCATCAACCTTGGGATGCAAATGCCCTCCCGACCAATGCCTTACCGTTCTCAATAAAACAGGCCTCAGAAACATCTTCAAACTCATGATACATTGAACTCGAATGTTCATAGATGGAGGCGCCAGCACAACACAGGACTTTTGAAGAGCCGGATTGAGAATAAGGAATCCAAATTTGAGCAAAGGGTAAATTATGTATTTTAAGGATCTCATATAACCCGATCTCTAGTTCGTCAAGTCTATCATCGACCAGCGGCTACAAAAATGATAAGATAAGCTATGAAATTAGTGGGACATATATATTAGAGCAATGGAAATAAAAACGAGAACAGTCTCTGATCTCCTTTTCTTTTACTTTTATTTATGTTGCCTGGTTTCACAAAAATTAAAAAAACAACACCATACCTCTGAAAGTCCAAAATACATGTCCTCCCTTGAGTTACAAATGCTATACAACCCAAATGATTTGGAATTCAACCCCTCTGATGGAAAAATATACAAGGATTATCGAAAAATACAGAATGTTGGTCTTTTTGAGCATTTTAATATTTATTTATTATTAAAATAGTCTCATAATTGTGTCCTAGGCTTAATTGCATTTCAACCTTAGTGAATGTGCAGAGAACGTTGGAAATTATGGCATTTCTTTTGTTGTCCGTTAGTGGACTTTTCTTATGCCTAATTACTCACTTTGGTTACTCATTGTGCATGTGTTTTATTGCTCATTTTTTGGTGGTTACAAAACGTTCAACTTGAGGTTTAGTGGTAGAAGGTGGTCTACTATGACCACTAATTCTTTTCATTACTCCTCCATTATTCCACCTATTTATTCCTTGTAACCTATGTAACCTTTAGGCCATTTATCTTCACTATTTACTACCCCATTATCTTCCTATTCATTTCTAGGAAGACTTCTTGTACTATAAATAGTGGTGGTCTTCATTTGGTTTGTTACACACAACATATAAGAAAAATATAGAGTGAAAGAGTTAGTCAAAAAGAGAGTTCTTATTAGTTGAAGGGAGGTGTTCTTTTTGTGAAGCTTTGGACTCAACTCTTGTACAAAGTTGTTGAGTTATATTTTGTGATTAGACTGTTGTATCCTGGAGGGGACAAGTCAACAAGGACTACTGCTGGACCGGTAAAAACATTTGCTGCAGTGGGCTTGAATCTCCTTAAAGAGAGCGAGATATCCGCGCCTCAGCCTGAAGAAATTTATTTCTTCATATTTATTTCAATTGTAATCTTGTATTTTGTTATCTTGTAAGTTTTCACTTAGCAATTTTAAGGAGATTCAATATGGCTACAATTGAAAAAACCGCGGATGTCAAGATAGGAGACCTTAACAAGCCATTTCGATTTAATGGTAATCATTTTAAGAGATGGAAGGGTAAAGTATTTTTCTACTTGAGTTTTCTCAATGTTTCTTATGTGTTAACTGAGAAGAATCCTAATAAAGTAGACATCACCTCTATGAATGATGATGAAACTATTTCTCATCTAGAGAAAGTGGAAAAGTACGATGGTGATTCCTATAAGTGTCGGTATTATATTCTTAATTGTCTATCTGATAATTTTTATGATTATTATGATAGAACTTACTCTAGTGCAAAGAAAATTTGAAAAGCGTTGCAGAGTAAGTATGATACCAAAGAGGCTGGAGCGAAAAAATATGCGGCTAGTAGATTTTTTCGTTTCCAAATGGTGGACAACAAATCAGTGGTAGACCAAGCTCAAGACTTTATAATGATTGTTGGAGAGCTTAGGTCCGAGGAGGTTAAAATTGGAGATAACCTTATTGTTTGTGGCATAGTGGATAAACTTCCACCTTCTTGGAAGGAATTTCAAAAAACTATGCGCCACAAACAAAAGGAAACCTCCCTTGAAACCTTGATAATGAAAATCCGCATGGAAGAAGAGGCAAGAGGTCAAGATGCACTTTTACAAACAGAAGAGAACAACATCACAACGAAGGTAAATTTAATTACTTCAAATAATGCTACTCCTGAAACTCACAAAAATACTTCTTTGAAGCCTAAGAAGAAAAAGTTCAAGAAAAATAATGGTAGACCTCCCAAGAAAAATAATGGTGAAAATAACCAAGCACAAAATCAACAAGTTCAAGACAAAGGACCGTGCTTTGTTTGTGGCAAGAGTGGGCATATTGCTCGATTTTGCAGATTCCGGAAACGTGGTCCTAACCCTCAGGCAAACGTTACCGAAGAAACTTTTGTGGCATTGATTACCGACATAAACATGGTTGAGAGTGTTGATGGATGGTGGGCTGATTCTGGTGCAAACCGTCATGTCTGTTATGACAAAGACTGGTTTAAAAAATATACTCATTTTGAGGAGCCCAAAACCATCATGCTTGGTGATTCTCACACAACTCAAGTGCTTGGAACGGGAGATGTCGAATTGTGTTTTACTTCTGGAAGGGTATTAACTTTGAAAGATGTACTTTATACTCCTTCTATGAGGAAAAATTTGATGTCTAGTTTTCTTCTTAATAAAACAGGTTTTAAATAGATTATTGAATCTGATCAGTATGTAATTGTGAAAAAAGGTATTTTTGTGGGAAAGGATATGCTTGTGATGGGATGTTCAAAATGAATGATGAAATGAATAAAGTTTCTACTTATGTTTACATTCTTTCTTCTACTAATTTTTGGCATGCTCGTTTGTGTCATATTAATGACCGTTATGTTGGAATCATGAGTAGTTTAGGATTAATCCCAATGATTAAAAAGAATTTTGAAAAGTGTGAGGCTTGTAGTAAAGCCAAGATCACTAAAAGGCCTCATTTTCAAGTTGAAAGAAAAACTGATTTGTTAGAATTAGTTCATACTGATATTTGTGAACTTGGTGGAATTTTAACTCGTGGAGGTAATAGATATTTTATCACTTTCATTGATGATTTTTCTAAGTTTACATATGTTTACTTGATGAAAAATAAAAGTGATGCTTTTGAAAATTTCAAAACTTATCTCCATGAGGTTGAAAATCAGTTTGGAAGAAAAATAAAAAGAATTAGAAGTGATAGAGGCCGTGAATATGAGTCAAATGAGTTTAATTCTTTTGTTAGATCATTGGGAATAATTCATGAAACTACTCCTCCTTACTCTCCTTCATCTAATGGAGTAGCGGAAAGGAAAAATAGAACTTTGGTTGAATTGACTAATGCCATGCTTATTGAGTCACATGCACCTTTAAATTTTTGGGGTGAAGCTATTTTAACTGCTTGTTATGTGTTGAATCGTGTGCCTCATAAAAAATCTAAATTGACACCTTTTGAATTATGGAAAGGTTACAAGCCAAGTTTGGGATATCTAAGACTTTGGGGTTGTCTAGCCTTTGTGAGGCTAATGGATCCCAAAATTACAAAGTTGGGTAAGAAAGTTACTACTTGTGCTTTTCTTGGTTATGCTTCAAATAGTACAGCC